GAGGGGCATCCCCTTCAGCAGGACAGTGTCCAGGGTGGAGTCCTTTGAGGACCGCTCACGGCCACCTTTCCTACCACTGCCGCTGACCAAGCCACGCTCCATCTCCTTCCCCAATGCCGACACTTCTGACTACGAGAACATCCCTGCCCTGAGCTCTGACTATGAGAACATCCAGCTTCCACCTCGGAGGCCCGTGAGGCCTGGCACATTTACAAAGCTCTTTGAGGAGCAGAGCCGGGCCCTGTCAGCTGCCAATGAGAACGATGGCTATGTGGATATGAGCAGCTTCAGTGCCTTTGACAGCAGGATGCAGGGCTCGGAGCCCGAGGCTGAGAGGTACGTCCACCTACCTGCTGTCCATGGCTCAGGGGCACTGGGGTGCAAAGCGGGGATCACAGATAGCATGGTATAGGGAGGGGACTTTTGCTGCTGGAGCCTTCCTTGTGCTGCATGTTGGAGCATCTGAAGCCAGAGTAGATTTTCTGTGTGAAAGTGGTATATACAAATCCTATACTTGGTGCAGATGTGGGCTTTGTTGTTTCTTGAGTCAAGGTCTTACTGTGTATCCCAGGCCAGCCTTGCAGTTATAATGTGGCCCCAGTGGCCTTGAACTTGTAGTGATCCTCCTGCCTCAGGCTTCCTGAGATGCTGGGATGACAGGCATGTGGCACTTGGCTAGTTGCTGATGAGATTTTCAGGGCTATATCTCATGTGCCAGGTGGATGCTTGGCTCTTTGTCTTTGGGAAAGTGACTGAGAGAAGGTTCTGGAATCCTGTCAAAGGAGACACATCTTCCCTCAGGAACTGCCCCAGGTGGACTGTGATCCCTTCTATTGTGTCACACATACTGTGTGCCTCAGGGAGGCGCAGAGGCCTCAGAGACAGTGCCTGGGGTCGTTGAGAGCTGACCTAGCTGCTTGTCGTAGACAGGATTACTACAGGGATGCAGGAAACAGAGGCACTGACAGAGTGGGTGCAGTGCTCACGCCAGGCTTAGGGCCAGTGGTTGAGGCTCACCCTGGATTTTCATGCTCTCTAGGGCACCTACTCTGGGCAGGGCCAGCTAGAGCCACAGAGTGATGAGGGGCCCAGCCAGGCACCTGTGGACACCCCAAGTCTCCACACATGCACTGCTGCAACTGCAGCGCAGGCTTGGGTGGGGTCAGCCTGACTCTATCACCCTGCCCAAGTACAAGCAAGGGTGTCCACTCTGCTCCAGTCAAAAGGCAGAGCAAAGGAGATACCAACCCTGCAGAGGGACTTGCAGCCAGGAGCTGTGAGCCTGGGTAAGCTGGGGTTCAGGAGCCGCTGTACCAGGGATGCAGGCAGCATCTGAGGAGACCTCGCTGGCGGCTCCTGGGTCCTGCTTGGCATCCCCAAGCCATGGGGACTCAGTGCGAGGCCCACACTCTCCTCTGTGGTGCCCTTCCTCCTATGCCAGCTCTTCTCTCTCATCTCATCCAATGGACAATGAGGAAAAGGGCAATCAGGTACTGTAGAATCACGAGTCTTCACAGCTAAAGGGAGTGTCTGCCATCATTTAATCTTCCTATGGAGGAAGCAACTGAGGCCCAAAGGGAGATAGGACTCAGACTTCTTGGCTTTTTATTTATGAACTTGCAGCAAGTTACATTGAAGGATACTAGGTCTGGTTGAGCAGGCTGTACATGATACAACCCAAGGGCAGCTCTTTCCACCCATATCTTTGTCACTTTCCCATTACTGGGAGGAAAAAACCTGACACAGCCTGGAGGAGCTGAAAGTTGCCTCGGCTCATGGATTCAGTGGATTCTGTCCATGGTCAGCCAGCTCTGAGGCCAGAACAGCATGGTAAAGGAAAGCTGCTCACGTCCTGGCAGCCAGGAAGCAGAGAGAAGGGGGGACACCTGGGAGGAGAAGGTCCTGCCCCTGAGACTGCCTTTAACCAGGCCCCACCTGGGATCAGCACCATCAGCTACAAAAGTATGGGTGCTGCGGCCTGGCAGCTGTGGGCTCCACTTTCTCACATGCCCTCAGCTGTGAGCTGCCTTACATTTCCTCCGAGCTGAGGGCTCAGTTCCAGGCCGCAGCTGGGTATGGTTGTGCACACCTGTATCCCAGCACGCTAGGAGGCTGAGGCAGCTTTCACGTTCCGACTCAGCCTGGGAAACTGAGTGAGTTAGTGAGACCCTGTCAAACTAAAACATAAGAGAGGACTGGGATTGCAGCTCAGTGCAAAGGCTATGGGCTCCATCCAAGTACTGAAAATAGAAAATTAAGCCAGTATCCCTGTAGTACTCCCAGGCAGTTTTGCTGAGAGCCAGGCTGACTGAGAGAGACCTGTGGGAACCACCTCCTGGTGCAGCAGCAGGGCAAAGCATCGTTCAGCTCTCAGGTTGGGGGAAGGCAGTCCCTGCCTCTCTAGCAGGAGCAGGTCTGGGCAGGGAGGTGTGGCTGGAGCCCCCATGGCCACCCACACAGGAATGTGCCGTGAGGCTAGGGCTGCACCAGTGGGTGCCCAAGCAGGAGGACACAGTTTCTTCTTTCTTCCTGCCTCAGTGGAGAGTCAAGCAGGAGCTGAAGTCAATCTCAGCAGCCTTGGAGCCAGAGCCCAGGTTCCGTAAGTGCTAGGGATCTTGGACAGGGCTGGTGGCAACTGTCCCCCTGCAAACACGTGACCGCCTGTGATTCCCCACACTAGTCTGTCCCTGTTAGACCCTGAGGGGCCTTTGGGGGTATTTTTTTTTTTTTAGGACAGTTGGTCTTTTTTCTTAAACGCATATGAAGGAAACTTACGGGAAAGTAGAATAGCAGCATCAGTCACCATAAGCAGAAGGCACTTGGGAAAATTAGACAAAGAGAAAAATGGAACAGTGGGTGCAGCAGGCTTGTGGTGAGCACGTGCCAGCTGGCTGGGGTCTCATGATCAGAAGCCCTGAAGATGCCCAGTTCCACTGGACTTCTGCTGAACCCCATCAGAAGGCTTCTGAATGGGTAGGGATGTTTAAACCCAAGTCCCTTCTCATGAAAGGGTCATCCATCACAAAACATCACTGGAGCCCAATAGTGACCCCTACACAGGGACAAGCAGCTCAGGGGCTAATAGATCAAGTTTCTTCTCTATGGTCACTTCCCTCTAGATGTCTGTCCATAGGCAGGAGCATTTTAGTAGCTATAGTAACATTAATAACCTTTTATTTTAAAATTTAAAAGATGATGCAGACCTATCATCCCAGTACTCTGGAGGCTGAGGCAGAACTCCAGGAGTTTAAGGCTCCATAGTGAGTTTAAGAGCAAGCTGGATTACATAGCAAGACTATCTCAAAAAGTAAATTATAAATTGTTACCTGTGTACAGTTTATGTGGTATACAAAAACCAAAA